TCATATTCAGTATTTATTGTTGCCGATGTTCGCTACATTATCGCAGTAAATATTTATTGTTGTCGATAATAATCATGATTTTATCATTGTCAATAATTATCGTGCGCCGACCGGCCTGTGTAGGGGGCAGGGAACAGAAAGGTTCTGGGTTCGCATCAGAAAGGTTCTGGGTTCGAATCCCGGGCAGGGCATGGATGTTTCTTTCTCTCTATCTGTGTTCTATGTCCTTTCTCCTTTGTGTGTGAATGTGACCCACCCTATAAACGGGTTGTGGTAGTGCGACGTGGGCGACGCTGCTCCACCGCCGTGTTCTGGCAGTTCTGGCACTTTCTGTGGCCAATGGACAATAGTTCCAAGTGCCCGCCATTAAAAAAAATAATTATTATTATCGTGCTTTTTATATCTATCGTAAGACGTGGTACTCACGATACAGCATGAATATAACAATTTTAAAATATAGTTATTGTAATATTTTAAAAGTACCGACATTCCCACGATGTATTGATACAGCGTGATGTACCACACAGCTTTAGTTTAAACTTTGCATATTTACGATCAAACTAATCCTGGTATAAAGTTTGTTCTCTTTAAACCACAATTTCCCCATTGAATAACGAAGTAGAAAAAGATATTGTAGACAGAAAGATGGAGCTGTGAACAAAATTGTAGAACAGAAAAGTTGTCTAAGAGTACGCGGCAGTAGCGCTGGAAAGATTACTTACAGAGTATTTTAAGTCTTTTAAAGAGTTGACTTTTTTTGTTCCTTAGTGTTTTAGAACACATTATTTGCTTAATTATATTTGTGTTAGGAAACTAATAATAAATACTTCTTTCAAGAGCATTATTTATGAAATGAAATATTTTAAATATTTATTCTGCTAAAAAATAATAAATTGTGAAAGTAAATATAAAAATTCGTACATACTTAGTATAAAAATGAAACTTCATTTTATTTTGCTAAATCACGCTATTAACACAGTTTTCAAGGAATCATTCATGAGGAAACAAATGATTAATTTGTAGTTACAGAGGTATGTTGCGTAAACTCTTAATTCTAAATCTCGAATAATTAGAGAGTTTACACTGTAAAAAAAGGGTTTCTAAAAATTTAACAAAAACATGTGTCATATAGCTCTGAAACAAATAATTTTCGAATTTGAAAACCCCATGTATCGAAACTGAAAGATCATATACTCATTCTTGAGGAAAATGCATAGTCTTAAAGGTAATGTTGAAGGAGAAATGTATGAGAGAAATATTCATTGGCTGTCTGCAAGATTCAAACTTCAGAGTTCGTTCCATTGAAATCCTTTACAATTTAAATTGGAATCTAGCATGTCATGACGTGTCAGTTGGTCAGTATTTCTACCTAACTCACCCTGGACTGGTGTGTATAACTACAGTGACTAAAGCATCCTCCTACGAACCAGAAGGTCCTTGGTTCGAATCCAGCCAAGGAAGAACTCTCTGACACATTTCTCCCACCACATCTCCTTTGAGACTACGTATTTTGCTCAAAAATGAGTATATGCAGTTTCAATTTGGAAAACATGGAATTTTCAAATTTGACTATTATTTGTTTCGGAGCTATTTTAATACAGTTTTGCTCAATTTTGAGAAACTCCTTTTTCACACAGAGCGTAAATCTAAAAATAGAGAAGAAAGTTCTCTTTAATAACCAGTTATGTTGAGAGATCTCTACTACAAGAGAAGAATAAGAAATAAGGTCGATGAATTTTGGTCAATGAAAAATTTGTGAGTAAGTTGTAGTGATAAAAATAAATCATGCACAGATAAATATATGTATGTTTCAGTAAAATAATCAGACTCTCTAACTAAAAATTTTATGAATAATCAGTTATTTAGGACTTCAGTAAAAACACTTGACTCATGTATTTAAATTGGATTATATTATAATTACCTCAATGAATTTAATCCAAAATATATATCTTGAAAATTTTAATAATAAGTTTTCTTTAATTCTACATCTACTGTATTTTGTTGGTAAATGTAAAAAGCTCTCGTAATGTCCATAAATGATTTGATGCATTTCAAAAAAGTGATTCGAATTTTCTTGCATTAGAATATTCAGTTTAGTTTCATATGTATCTTTTATTTTATTTATACCAACAAGAAAAATTTTTTTCCGTCGTCGCATTAAATGTTTATGTGCTCTATATTTTTGTTCAAAAATAACTCGACGGATGTTTTTTTTTTGGACTAGATTATATTTTAATTGTTTCATATGTTTAAACCGTAAGAGATAATTAGAAAATGTTAATTATAAGAGTTTTTAAAATCCTATTTTGACTGAACTTTTAAAGGGAAAAAGATATATCAATTCCAATTTAAAGGAATTGAAAGGAAGATAATTAGAATAAAAATTAAATTACATTAATTTCCCAAACTGATATATTTTTGAAATAGCTAAATTATAAATTAATGTTCAAAGTAAAATCTATATTACAATATTTTTTTTAATTAAGTCGTTTATATTTGGGTAAAACTACGAAACGCAAAAGTTTTTGCACGAAAGTGAACTGTTTAATTTCTTTTCAGAAATGAGTGTTGGTGCTTTCATATAGAGGGTGTTACACAGTCATCACTCTTAACATTTCTTTATAGAATCCTTGTCAGATTTGTAAAGTATACATTTTAAGAGTACACAAAGAAATTTATGAAGTTGCCAGTGTGAAAAGTGGAAAGGGAAATATCAAAACCATTTTGATTGCTTTATGAAACTCGAAGTTGCTTCTTACAATAACCTTCCAACTTTTATCTGTTTTATCTTGCAATTCTATGGGTTTTGATGTTTCAGTTCTGCCTTTCACAGATGTGATCATTTAGATTTAGAAAGTGTTTTTATTTTATCCACTCTTAAAAATTATTTTTCGATTTATTACGGTCTGTAATTACGGAACAATCTGCATATCTGGATCCTAATAAAGATTATTCTGTATAGATATATTGTTTAAAGATTGAAATTATTTATGAAAAGTATGCAGCAGGAAGAAATAATATGAAGCTCATAATTTTATGAAATCTGAACACTGTAGGAAAAATATAATAATAAGTTTAAGAGCAATTGTATTGAAGTTTTCAATTATCCATATGAATTTTAATGTCTTAACATTAAATTGAAAATTTTAAGCATGGTTTGAAAAATTTTGCATATTTTCAAACGTAGAGCCAAATGTATCATTTTTATAACCAATATTTAGAAAAATATTTACCGCGCTATCTTCTTGAGTAAAATGTACAAATTTTAGTATTAAGTTACCGAGGGACAAGAGGATGGGTTAATGCTTTGCTTGAAAGATAGCTAAAACATTCCATTACCAATCCGATATTCATTCGGTTCTATAATTATGATCACTTCTTAAACCTTGTTATAGACGAATTATTAGAAAAAATGGTTAAAAAAATGTTTCTTTTTGGTTCTTTTTCTGGTGAGAATGGCAAGTTATATGAAATTTCTCTTTTGCTAGTCTTTTTAATACCTAACGCAAATGGGGCGGAGCCTCTAAACTATTTTGTTTTGAATGTTTGTTTGCCTCATATCAGTTCTCATAAGTAAGTTGATCTTCAAAGAGCAAGGAAAGGGGTTTAACCATTCTAATACGTAACGAATTTTGCATTGTGTATTAATGAGGAAAGGAAAAACCTCTTTGCATACTTTAGAGCCGGTCTCTGTTTATATTCAGAGTAAAAAATAAAAAAAAACTGGCTTTTATGGGCAAGATATTTATTTTTGATTTTAACCTCGGTTAACAGTTAAATTAGTTATGTCACTGAAAGAAGAATTGACCAGTTGTCCATTGTTTACAATTGAAGAACAAGTGAAAAAATGAATTTAGTCAAACATAAGTAAATTGGAGAAAATCAGATTTAAAATGAATCAATAGCAGCTTTCACAGGCGTAGTTCAAGTAAGAAAAGGTCCGATATTAAGTGATCTGAATGTAAAGTGTGAAATTCCTTTTAATTGTTCTTAATTGTACTAATTTTATAAACTTACTATTTTACAATAATTTTAGCAAATAGCAATAAGATGCATTTTATAAACTTGTTCAAACATTTTCCCATTGAATTAGAACTTAGAGTATTGCTTTCATTTTTATTCATCATGCTAATTCGGGAAAATGAATATTTATTAACCATGATTGTAATTCTCAAAAATAATTTTTAAAGGCACTAATAGTAATATTTAACGAAGTTTTAACGAATTATTATCACTGTATTACAAATTTTTTAGGCTTGCTAATTTCTATTCTTTTCATTATTTAGATTTACAGAATAACATTTTAAATGTTTTGTAGAATAAATTAATGTTCTAAGCTTAAATTAAACCATAACATGTTCCTAAACTTGAAAATTGAGTGTTGTCAAAATTTCCCCCAATATTTTCTTCATTTAAAATGTTTTTGTGTGTTATAGAAATACATTGTTTTAATACATTAAATGTTCATCAACTCAGTAAATGTATTTAATGTCATAAATGTTTTCAGAAAAAAACAAGTTTGAACTTTATTTCATTGTTCGGTGTTACAAAATAAATAACAAGCAAATATTTCATTCACAGATACATTTTTAAAGTAAGAAAAATGGCTTGTCCAAGTTCAGTTTAAGTAAAATATAAGGTCTAAATTTAAAAATTTCTCAAATTTCGTAAAGCGAAGCTTGAAGCTGATCTTGTAAAACTAAGCACAATAAATTCTCGTGCTTTTCCAAGAGAATTTCGCTAAAAGTTTTAAAAACAAGTTTGAATGTGATACAGAATTTTAAAACCGCATTATCCTCCATAAGAAGTAGTATTTCAATAATTAAACTAAAGGCAAAGTATTCTTGTGCCCATGGTCTATAGACCATGTATCCCATGGTCTTAGTTTTCGATATAATAACATAAGAATATGATTTCATGAAATACTAATAGTTGTGTAGTTGGCGTTTCATATAAAGTAGCTTATATAGCAATTAAAAAACATGAACAATAATAGTATATTTGGTTGCATTCTATAGTTTATTTGCATATATATAAACGGTAAATTTGTCTTGACGGTACATGATGCAATTTGTGATAGCATACGCATATTTTTAATCTTGAAACAGCAATGTGAATCGAAACTCATAGTAAAATGAATTTAATTTCTTCCATAACTAAGCAAAAATGTTTAAAAATATTGGTACTATAATAAAAGAACAGTTGATGTAAAGAAAACGCTTAAATTATGACTCTCAAAATAGCAACACGATAATCAAAAGTTTAAAAGTCTCATTCCTCATTAAATGGAATACCGGCACATTTTATATCACAATTCATTTTAAAAATATTTAAAGTAAGAATCTTCAGAAAATTTCGTGGCATACCAAAGACTTTGAAATAAATAGTTTTTCCCCTACTCAACTGAACTTTTGTTATAATTCCAATGTATTTATAGCCTATAGATTGTTCGTTCTAGCGAATGGCAATGTTATGAATGCAACATTTAATAGTTGGTTGAGGTTTCTTCTGTTACGAAGACTTGTCGAACTCCTCCGGGCACTTGGCTGGTGGTTACCCAAGACCTATGCTTGGCACGGATCATAGACAAGTTGCCTTCTGCAGCTTCTGCTCTATCTTCTGCGGCTTCTAATTCACGCTGGAACCTTCGAACTCGAGTAAGATTTTGTTGAGAAATACCCTCCTAAAAAGATTAAATCATTTTAATAAATTTCAAACACATGAAAAATGTAATAAAAAAGCAACCTGGTGAAAATGAACATAAACGTTTAAGGCTACTGTTTCCTAATATAAAGTGATCTTAAAGGTTTCCGATCTAGACAACACAAAAAATGTAGTTATACGTTCAGTGAGATAGCAGAGGAATGTGATCAATGAATAATTGGGGAAAAGTACTTAAGAGTGACTTTATTAACTAAGTGCTGAAATAAAAGCAAAAAGAAAACATATTAGTCAATTGAAAAAGCACATCAATCGTTGCTAGTTCAACAAGCACTGTTAACTCATCCCACTGAACGTGGTCTCCAGATCATGTTAACTCAGATTTCTAACTTGGCAAACTCAGATGTACTGCACTTGGTAAAATATTTTAAATTATAAAAATTTCCTTCGATAGAAAAAAACCTAAGACATTCTTGCAGCTTTTTTTGAAAAAGAAAATGTAATATCTACAAAAAGAAGGAATTTAAAAAATGTGTAAAATGCTCAGAGACAGAAAAATATGGAAAATAGAATATTCATGAATAGTTACTTTTTTAAAAAAAATAAAATATAATGAATTTCGCTTGGCTAATCGGGCAGGGAGTTTCACATTAACCTGATATTATACTAAAGCCTACTCTGTATTCCTATTTTCTTGAAGAAACATACTAAAACTAGTACAACTTTCAAATTTTTGTCCTAAATAACTATAACAAGAAAATTTTTCAGAACTTTAACCAAAAACGAACTTTATATGAATTAAGTAAATTTAATTCAATGAAATAATTATTTTAAAAATTTAATTTTCAGTATATCTCTTCTAATTTGACTTTTAAATAATGCAGTAAAAATTCGGTGAATATTCAGACTTTCATGTAACAAATAAATAAAACAATACCACTATTGAAAAAGTAAGTAACATATATAATATTGATAAAATTCCTCGGAAAAAGCACATTTGGTTCTTATTGCCATTAAAGCTTTCAAAATATTTTTTGCAAATTAACATAATTATTTGTAATAATAAATATAAAAGTTACTGTGCTTGTCTTTTTAAATTAGAATACGCACAGTTTTAATTCTCACGATATTCTTATGCTTAATGCCACTAGAATAATATTACTTACATTTTTTAAATATACTTATTTTGTTTGCTACGTTTTATCAAAAAGTTATGTTATGAATACAAAATAGGTCAGTCTAAACTATTATAAAACACTCAATCTTAAATTTGCATGAAATTAAAGCATTTGCGCAACAGTTCATTGTGGACCAGGGAAGGCTATAAAGATTAAGATACCCCAATTTCGTAACTAGTGGTATGATAATTGCAATGTGGTCAGCATTGCGCACCTCCTTAACTTCTCAGACAAGCCGGTGTTCATTTCATATCTTATAACCGTCGTTGAACAGTCGACCCAATTTTTGGGCTTACGACTGCTAATGTTCAACTCCATAGCCTTGTAATTTTGAACCCAATCCAGAAGACAAGGGAACTCCTGGATCAAGTATTGGGAGAAATTTGCCTTCGTGAAGGACTTTGTGATGGAACTAACCGGCATTTGCTTTACATGGAGAGGAAGACCACGAGAACCTCTCACAGTTAGCCTGACGGCAAAGGGACTCTAACTCATGACATCATGAGGATATTTCCCGTCATCACCGTGGTAGCTACAAGCCAGATGCGGATTCGTATCGACCAGCCATCACTGGGATTCGAACCCGGTTCACCTCAATGGAAGGCGAACGCTCTATCCCGTGTACCATCGCGGCTCAGCTGGTGCGCATTGATCTGAACCCGGGTGGGCTTCAAGCCACCATCGGAGATTGGACCCCCAGTTCTTTACAAGAGCATTTCAGTGCCTTAACCACTGAACCGAACGCGACTATACTTGCTTAAACATTGCATAGATATTTCATAAGTAGTCAATAGTTTTTTAGAAATGTAAGTTGAACTCTAAAAAGTTTAACTTTGAGAAAAGTATTATTAAACTTCAGGAATTCCATAGTTCATACTAGAGTGTGACTTTAACGTATGTATGTCTTTCTCATTTTTTTCAGGACAAACAAATGTATGATATCAGTAAATTACTATTGAAAGTGTAAAAGCTATTCTAAATTATTTTACAATAGTTTTTCTACTTAGATTGCCTAATTGATTTATGTTAATGAAAGAAATTATTGAAGATAAATTACTTGTTCATCAAGCTGCCTCTTGTACATTTTGACCTTCTCACTCAGTTTCTCTGTCGCATCATTTAGCATGGAGATTGTCTTGTGGTCATCTTCACATTGCAAGACCAATTCTCTGAGGCGTGTCTCCTTCTTCCTCAAGCTCTTCTGAGTCTCGGAGTGACGCCTCTTCTCCTCTTCCATTTCTATCTCAACATCCTTGATCTAAATGATAAAAACTCCTAAATTAAATGCTGTCATCTTTCAAGAAAAAGGCAGAGATAAGTTTTATTTTATTTTAAATAGTTATAATATAATGATTTTATATTTTAAAAGTAAGTAATTATGGCCTCTAATGCTCAAAATATAAAAATATGACTTGTTTTCGTGTATATTTCAATAATATTTTATACATGGTCAAAAAAGTTTGAATTCAATCCTTTGACGATCTATCAACTAGAATTCTACCTTCGATCTTCATGCGTAAAATATAGTAATCAATATTTTCATGGGATAAAAATAACCGTACAATTTAGCTGTTTTAGTAATTAAACAAGGAACATTTTAATTTTCAACCTGATATTTTCATGTTAAAAGAAATCGAGTAATTTTTTTTAATTACCCACTGCTTGATAATGTCATATATTGTTGTTAACATCTATGAGTATTTCAGTCATAAGAGTTCGTAAGCGCCATCCAGATTTTAAAGCTTGCCATTTAAAAAAAAAATTGTTTTTTACATCTTGTGTAAAGAACACAGAATGTTACCATAGATATGTTATCATCCGTCTACAGCAAATGCTGTATAAGTAAAATCTAACGGTAACCGAAGCTATTTTCACTTATAGTTATCCTCTCTCTCTGTAACTAAGTTCGTGGTTTAAGTCAATGATCAAAATTATTTTCACTTAATAAAAAAAAAATCTGACTGGCATTTACGAAGTTTTGGAACTGAAAGACTCTTAAATGTATATGCATGTGTTTTATTATTTGTTATTTTTATAGTAATCTTAAAAACGTAGTGAGAGTAAAATTTTGTGTCCTAATTTGCAACATCGTAATGTATGAAACTAAATAATTATTTTAAGTATCGCTTAAAATTAAATCTTGACTAGCATTTATATGATCGATTCAAGTCTCAAAATTGCATTGTAGAGAGAAAAAAAATATTAGATACAATCATCATTGACATTTCTAATATTACTCTTTAAATAGAACACTCAGACCCAATGACCTTCATTTGTTTTAAGAGGAACTTTGCTCTGAGCGTCTCTGTTTTCTTTGAAAGTGTTCGAGTTTAAAGATGGTAATGTCTGGCCACCCTCTCTTTTTTCCTACGCCAAGAGCTATTCTTGGCAGTCAACGCCCGCATTCAATGTAGTAATCTTACTTTTAAAACAGCTTTGTTCGAAGTTAGCATTTTTAAAAATTTTATTTGAGAATATTACCAGTAAAAACCGATTTTAATTGTCGTTTTTGCATTTTAAATATTTCATGAAGCATTTTTATTAACATATTAATGCGCAAGTTGCATTTTAGTAAAATAATTTTTTGCACACTAATATGAATTGCTTTGAAATTTTCTGGTAAACTATTAGCAAAAATCGTGCAAGTTAATATTTTATTAAATTCGAGAAAGTTAAAATATTTATAAAATTTAAGAATATTATGAAAGATTATTTAAATGAAAAATTACGTAAAGTTAAAAAAAGGTATTATTGGAACTTATATACTAAAAATTTTAATACTGTAAGTTGCTACTTTATCAAAGCTTCATATTTTACGCCCTAAAATAAACAGTTCCTGAATTCTACTTATGCTTTTAAGTTATAAAATAGATGTTTCAAATATTACATTCATAGCTTATAGTTCAAAGTTTTTTTATGGTAATAAGTAAATTTCTTTCTTATGAAAATACCGTATTAAAGTTGAAATTTCTATTCTGAATATATTTTAATAACTTGCAATAACTTAAGCAATAACTCTTAAATATGCGTTTTAGAATCTTTAGAATTTAATAATTATCACTTATATGCATTTTAGAAGCGTTTATGTGCCACTAATACACTTCAATTGCTATTTTACTCGTTGTAGTAAATAATTTGTTGAATTATGGTCGGATGGGCTAATGAAGGCTATATTTAATTCCACTCAAAACAAACACAATCGTACCCACACAAATTAACTATGAGTTTTAAAACAGCCTTATTGTGTTTTTCAATGTTTTTGTTACTATGAATGTCGATATCTGGTGATGTAAAATTATAAAATGCTGTGTTATAAAATTATAGTTTAGTTTTTATCATATGGTGAATGGGGTAATAATGATAAAAAGGGTTATCATTATTTCTCCCTACAATCTTGACATCACTGCATGCTGAGTGCTGACATTTGCTGGTGTAAATGAAAACTGGTGATATTTAACAAACTAGTGGGCTGCGCCCCCTGCTCGCTAACGCTCGCCAACCCCCGAAAATTGCTACGCAATCTTATATGGTTTGCTTCGCAAAGCAAGCTCGCGTCGCTCGCTACTAACTTGGGTACATTGTAAACACACAAAACTCTAAGAATTCAAAATAATCATTCAAATCCATAAAACAAATTTTTTTAAAAAAAAATTGCATCTTTTTAGTAAATACTAAGTCATTAAAATAAATTTGAATTCAAATAAAGACTCATTGACTGAGACTCATTTTTCAACTAATAACTTTTCAATAACTAATAACAATAATAAAACAAATAAATTCGTGATATAAATAAAAAAGCGTCAAATAAATTCGTAATATATAAATTCGTGAAAAAAAGCGTTTTCGACAAAATACTAAAATAGAGATCTATCGACAAAGACTACTCACTTCTGCCTAGTTTAATAGTATGAGATTGCCGCAGCTGAATTGTTATTTCAGTTTCCGTTTCTAAAAGCGCTATATGTTGAGCAACCTCATCTAGATTTGGCATGTGGCATTTTTAGCGGCAATCATTGGTCGATTTTCTAGCGTTGCCATTCGGGGAGTTGTAATTAGGTTTTTTTTTTGTCGCCGTGTAAGAGAAATATATATATAGATGTTCATCATAGTGGCCGTATGTCATTGACGTCTTCCACAGTAACATATCCATCGTTCGATAAAAATACTTGCAAAAAAGTGTTTTCAAAATAAAAAAATAAGGAAAGAAAAAAAAAATTAAAATAAACAAATGAATAAAACCTCACCCTGGCTTCGAGCTTGCTGATGACTCTCCTACCTCCAGCTAAGGCATTGGCTTCAACCTCTTCAATTCTAACCTGGAGACTGTGAACCTCCATTTCCAGAGATTTCTTGATGGATTCAATTTTGACGCATCTTTCTTGCTCCTCGGTTAGTTGATCCTTGACGGTCTTCAGCTCAATAATAGTTCTGTTGTATCGCTCGTCGATCACCTGCAAGTTGTTTACATACATTACACTATAATAATATAACACACTGCAATTTGATTCATTTTCAAACCGTAGTATCTAATAGATACTAACTTTTGTGTTAAAACTTTTGCTTACGTTAAATATATATCGAGTGTCCTAATTATTCAAAATTTTGAAAAGAATTTAGTAAAATTTTATATTCCAATGATATAAGTAGGAAATTGCTTGCAAAGTTGACTTCTATTCCGTTCGATTGCTTCAACACTATTGTCAATTGGCATTTTAGAGTTACTTCGTGTTCGAAACTATGCATATATATTAACTCATTATTTTAAAACAAAAACAAATATTTTGAAAATAATTCTTAGAAACTGAAAAAAAGTCTAATCCGTTTAATGTAATGTTTTTTAAACAACAAATTACAATCATTGAATTTTTTTTTATTCCGGTCGAACAAACATAACGAATTTAATTTAGAAATGAATTAAATAAATGTTTCAAATTTCAGTTTTCCACATTCAGCAGAATTAATAACATTTATAGCAATCTATCCCAAATTTTTAATGAGTCAAATTTGTTTTCTAATTACTTGCCATTCGAATTGTAAATAGGCAACATATATTTAAACTAGGTTAACAAGATAAAAATTATATTTAAATAAAAAAAGCAGTTTAGGACAGCTGCGATCAAAGCGGGTTTTAGTTATAATAAACTCATTTAAAGTTATGATAGCTCAGTTCAAGTTGGGAAACAAATGTATTCAATAAATATTAAATATTTTTGATTAGCTACTTTAAGAAGCGTTTCAGAGAGAATAGACTCGACTCGCTGCATACAAAACTTAGAAGAACATTAGCCAACTGTTCCTCAGACCGAACGTCCTTAATGTATTTTTTCTTTTGTACTAAACCACATTTTATGTTAATAGAAATAAAATTGATTTACCTTCTTCTAATTAATTGGCAATGAAGCCGCTACCAAAATTTATTTTGCTCCTTTGTAATTATATCTTAGCGTTTAGTAATCCTCTTTACATTGGAAGATTTGAATTATAATGATAAGCCACACTTACTCATACATCTTTTACATTAAATTACTCCTTAGTACTGTTTTTAGATAGATATTTGACAGATCTCCAGTTACAGATATTTTACAGATCCATACAGCAGCATAACAGCACGATGCACAGAAACATAGTATTGCCTACGTGTAAATCGCGATGCTTTGCACCCAAATTCCTCACTCTTATTAATTGAACAATTTGAAAAGTCTAATGATTGAAAATGTGGTTTATAATTACATTGCTTAAGGTTCTTCATCCGCCTGAATTAGTTTATATTATATTGATAGCTTATTACATCTATAGAATGTATTTAGTTTTGAAAAGAGAGGGTATACAATATTATAAGTGGATTTGATACATGAAAAACTATATTAAATGCGTATAGAGCAATATGAAATACTTACACGCAGCTCTTTGTGGATTTCTTCATAGTCAGATTGCAGAGTTGAGAAGTCACTCTCAAGTTTATTTTTAGCTGATGATAGGTTCACATTAATGGTTGTTAGTTCGTTCACTTTGCTGTGGGCTTCTTCAAATTGTTGCTCAGCATGGCGTTTAGCTCGCATGGCCTATAATGATAATTAATAAATATGAATTATTAAGTTTTTTATTTCCTTCAATACTTTCTTTAAATACGTAATGTCCCCCAAAAATAGATGTAATTTAAGGTTACTGATTTGATTTAGATTTAAAAAGGTTGACAACTTTTCTAAATATAAAAGTGGTTAAATTTTTTTAAAAATTCGTTTAAAGTATTAAGTTGTTCCAGTAAAATTAAAACGATTTTCCAATTACGTGACTAATTCTGCTCTTTATAAGAAACGTATCGAGTAAAGTAAATATCGAGTAATATTCTTATTAATAAATTGAAGTTATGCCATTCGTTAAATATAGCATTCAGAAATCGAAAAAGAATGTTGCTTTTGTCCATGATAACATATAAACCTTATTTTTCAAAAATTACTGTCCGAATATAAATGACTTAAAGTTTGTGGTTCTGCTTCAGACGTCACCTTCTCAGAACTTGTTTCGTACTGCTTACCATTTCTTTAAATATTTGAACTCTTGTTGTTTTTTTAAAATAAATTCTTTGTCAAATGAGAGTTTTATTATTAATTAATTTAATAATTTACTTATTTTCATTTAAAATATACAATGTACAATTAGTATATAAATGCTTTGTAATTGATAAGTATATATAGTAGATTCAGTGGTCGGAAAAACTACATTATTTTTGTTGTTTACTACAACTACAACTACTTTGTTACAAATGTAGTTAACAACTACACCTACTTTCTTTTAAATGTAGTGACTACAAACTAAACTATTTTGGAATTGTAGTGACTTCTTCACTACTTTAAGGAACCGAATTTTTCTGGGGAAATTAATTTACACATTATGTTCGAAATGGTTTTGAATAAAATATAGGCTTATATTAAACATGATGAATTATTCAGAAATATTTATTGTTTACATGAGTCAGCTTGGTATTCTGACACATCTCTTTTGAATTTGTTTATTTAGTCTTCAATTTTTTATGCCCTTCTTGGCAGCGAATATTTAATTTAAGAGATGGTAAGAACTTNAAAAAATATTAAACATGAAATTTTTTCTTTGTGACATACTTTAAATGACAAAATACCAATTTTGAATTTTTCCCGATTTTTTCAATTTACGAACTTTGATTAAATTTTTTTAGTTTTGTTTTTTATACTAAAATATAATCTTATAGTATGAAATCTCTATAAATACATATTAGAGAGACATTATAATAATATTATATTTATGTAAAAATCGTTTTATCTGAATAAACGGCTCAGATTTATCTGAGTATGTCAGAAAGAGTATGTCACATTTAAAGTATGTCACAATGAAAAAATTTCATGTTCACGATTTTTGCTTGCCTTTATAGGGTGTAAAAAAGAAGAAAATTCATGTAGAAATAGTGTGCCCGCCCCACAAAACTTTTTTTTTTTGGCCGCCTAATTGGCGTTTATTTGTAGAATTGCTCATACATCGAGTGTCCTAATTACTCAAAATTGTGAAAAGAATTCAGTAAAATTTTATATTCCCCTGATATAAGTAGGAAATTGCTTGCAAAGTAGACTTCTATTCCGCTTGTAGAATTGCTCATACATCGAGTGTCCTAATTACTCAAAATTGTGAAAAGAATTCAGTAAAATTTTATATTCCCCTGATATAAGTAGGAGATTGCTTGCAAAGTAGACTTCTATTCCGTTCGATTGCTTCAACACTATTGTCAATTAGCATTTTAGAGTTACTTCGTGTTCGAAACTATGCATAGATATTAACTCATTATTTTAAAACAAAAACAAATATTTTGACAATAATTCTTAGCAATTGAAAGAAAGCCTAATCCTTTTAATATAATGTTTTTTTAATGAGTGATATGAGTACGTTTCAATTTAGATATTCGACAAAGAACAGCAAATTACAAGCACTGATTTTTTTTATTTATTCCGGTCGAACAAACATAACGAATTTTAATTTAGAAATGAATTAAATAATTGTTGCAAATTTCAGTTTTCTATTCAGCATAATTAATAACATTTAAAGCAATCTACCCCAAATTTTTAATTAGTTAAATTTGTTTTTTAATTGCTTACCATTCGAATTTTAAATAGGTAACATATATTTAAACTAGAATAACAAGATAAAAATCATATTTAAATAAAAAAAAGCGGTTTAGGTTGAAGCGAGAGCTGCTATCAAAGCGGGTTTTAGTTATAATAAACTTATTTAACTCATGATAGCTCAGTTCAAGTTTGGAAACAAAAGTAATCAAGAAATATTAAATATTTTTAATTATCTACTTTAAAGAGCCTCTCTGAGAGATAGACTCGACTCGCTGTATACAAAACTTAGAAAAACATTAGCCAACTGTTCATCAGACCGAACGTCCTCAATGTAAATTCTTTTTTTTTACTAAATCATATTTAATGTTAATAGAAATAAAATTGATTAACCTTCCTTTAATTAATGGGCAATAAAGCCGCTACCTAAGTTTATTTTGTTCCTTTGTAATTATATCTTAGTGTATAGTATTCCTCTTTGCATTGAAAGGTTTGAGTTATAGTGATAAGCTACACTTTTCATTAGTAGCAATTTCACATTAAACTACTCTTTAGTATTGTTTTTAGATAGATATTTTACAGATCTCCAGATGCATATATTTTACAGATCCATACAGCAGCATAACAGCACGATGCACAGAAACATAGTATTGCCTAAGTGAGTTTTGTTTTTTTGTTTTTTTATTTTTATTTTTTTTTAATAACGGTAGGCACTGAACTTTCGTTCTTCTCCTTAGAAGATGCCGGAAGTGTTGCTCATTTATCTTTACCCAGTGGGCACCTGTGAACCAAAGTCACGGAGGCGAGCAACATTACCCACGCCACACTGCCACATATACCCGTTCATAGGGTGGGCCACATTCATACATTCACACATCAGAAGACAACACAGAGAGAGAGAAACATCCATGCCCAGAGCGGAATTCGAACCCGCAGCCATTGACTTCGCAGTCAGGCACGCTAACTACTCAGCCACCTGGCCGGCTTGCCTAGGTGTAAATCGTGATGCTTTGCACCAAAAATACCGCACTTTTATTAATTGAACAGTATGAAAAGTCTAATGATTGAAAATGTGGTTTGTCATTACATTGCTTAAGGCTCTTCATCCGCCTGAATTAGTTTATGTTATATTGATAGCTTATTATATCGATAGAATGCATTTAGTTTTGAAAATAGAGGTATACAATATTATAAATGGATTTAAATATACATGAAAAACTATATTAAATACGCACAGTGCAATATAAAATACTTACACGCAGCTCTTTGTGGATTTCTTCATAGTCAGATTGCAGAGTTGAGAAGTCGCTCTCTAGTTTGTTTTTAGCTGATGACAGGTTCACATTAATGGTTGTTAGTTCGTTCACTTTGCTGTGGGCTTCTTCAAACTGTTGCTCAGCATGGCGTTTAGCTCGCATGGCCTATAATGATAAATAATAAATATGAATTATTACGTTTCTTTATTTCCTTCAATACTTTCTTTGAGTACATAATATTCCCTCAAAAAAGATGTAATATAAGGTTACTGATTTGATTTAAATTTAAAAAGGTTGACAACTTTTCTAAATAAAGTGATTGAATTTGTTTCAAAATGCTGAAAGTTTTAAAATTCCTTTAAAGTATTAAGTTGTTCCAGTAAAATTAAAGCGAGTTTTTAAGTACGTGACGAATTCTGCACTTTATAAGAAACGTATCGTGTAATATTCTTATTAATAAATTGAAGTTATGCAGTTCGTTAAATATAGCCTTGAGAAATCGAAAAATGTTTTTTTTCCATGATAACATATAAATCTTATTTTTCAAAAATCCCTGTAAAAATATAAATGAGTTAAAGTTTGTGGTTCTGCTTCATATGCCACATTCTTAGAGCTTGTTTCGTACTGCTTACCATCTATTTAAATATTTGAACTATTTTTTTTAAATAAATGCTTTGCCAAATAAGAGTTTTATTATTAATTAATTTAATAATCTATTTACTTTCATTTAAAATATATAATGTACAATTAGTATATAAATGCTTTGTAATTGATAAGTATATATAGTAGATTCAGTGGTCGGTAAAACTACATTATTTTTGTTGTTTACTACAACTACTTTGTTACAAATGTAGTTAGCAACTACGACTACTTTCCCTTAAATGTGGTGACTACAAACTACTTTGGAGTTGTAGTGACTACTTCTCAACTTTAAGGAACTGAACTTTTCTGGAAAAATTAATTTACAGTGCTGGAGAAGGTAATTTACACATTATGTTCGAAATGGTTTTGAATAAAATATTGGCTTAGGTTTATATTAAACTTGAAGAATTATTCAGAAATATTTATTCTTCTTTACATGAGCCAGCTTGTTATTCTGAGACATTTCTTTCGAATTTGTTTATTTAGTCTTCCATTTAATATGACCTTCTTGACAGCGAATATTTAATTTAAGAGATGCTAGGAAATTATCAAGTATTTGTAAATTTGTTATGTGTTTAATGCTCCTTTACTTCCTCTAAAAAAATATCAATCTTATCGAAAATATGTTTCCTTCCTTTAAAATATCATCAATGTTTCACGAGCCTACATTCGCGTGTGAAAGTGTGACCGAAGAAATAAATTATCTATCATTCATAATGACTAGCTTAAATATTAGTTATACGTAACTCTAAATCCGCAATTCTTGTTAACTCACCGTCACAGGAGCATTTAAAATTGAGTCCTTTGACAGAACCGCGAAGATTTGCAAGCATCAATTTCGAAAAATTAATTGTGTTAGAACCCTGCTCCTATACTGAACTAAAGTACGAAGTAGTAGGCAGAAATCGCTACCAACTATTGTTTTTTTGTATCGCACTATTACTTTTTTTAAAAAATAGTGGTACATTCCACTATAAACTACGAAAAAACATAGCGACTACAGTAGTTTCACTTCTTGTAGTGTGCTACTTAAGACCACTAAGTAGATTAAATAAGACTCAAAAAAAATTTTTTTTAACGTTTACCTAACACACACTTTTGTCAAACTTAAGATAAGGATGGATCACTGTTCTAATGCAAATTAACTACCTTAATTTGAGTTGCCTATTAAAATGAATTTTCTATTAAAAATGAGGTATATGATTCATGATAGTAATTATAACCGTAAGGAATAAATATGATCAGAATTAGCAATGAAAAATTGACAACTTTTTTCAATATAACGAGCACCAAAAATCATGCATACTTGTTCAAGGGCTGATCTCATTTCATCCAATTCCATTTGCAGAGTCTGGCATCGTCTTGTTGCTACACCTAATTGGTCGATGGATTGTTGCAATTGGCGAGTTACTTCATCATAGTGAGATTGCAGCTCCTGAAATAAGTAAACTCAATGCAATTGTTGCACAAATTGCTGCTGGCATATTCAATCCTAGTAGAAAAGTTCTTATTTTTTAAGCATTTATTTATTTATTTTTAAATTACAGTATTTTTGTTAATATTTTTAATAAAGGCGATGATCGTTTTCATAAAATAAAGATACATGTAATTTTAAAAGATTATTGGAATTTAAAGATGATTAGGCAATATTCTTTTCTCATGATTTTTGATTATTCTTTTTGGCAAAAACATTTGAAAAGTTCTTTATTTGACTAAAAATTAAAAAGGAACTTTAGAGAAAAATTGTAGAAGCTGTAATAGCAACCAAGCAAAATGATTAGGTGTAATTTTAGCTCAATAGGATTGGGAAGTAAATCAGTGAAAAAAATCTAATTCCTTGTTAATACAATAACATTTTTGGATCTTTTAAGTGATTAATTTTTAATTTAGACGTATCCTTATTATCATATACAAATACTTAAGAGTTATCAGTTCACATAATTCGATTAAAATATTTATATCTAACAATAAAAAAGACTTTTCATCCGTGTTTTTATGAAACTTAGCTATAGATCTTAAGACAGATAAGACTATCAGAAACCATGAAATAAAATTCTCTTGTTTGAAACGCAAATTTAAAAAGAAAACAAATTTGAATGTTTGAATTCGTACGAAATTCTCGAAAGCATTATCATTTTTTCCATTTTCAAACTTTTTATTATTTTATTAATAAAATACAATAAAAAAATTTAAGCATAAAAGATTTTCCTATAGTCTATTAATTTTATTTTATTGTGTCGATTTTTTTTTCTTGGAATTTCACAAATGAACTAGTAAAACTACTTTGTTATAACTAGAGCCCGGATTTTGATGACCTAAAAAACCTCAATTAATGCCCTTAAAAAGTTCAAAAAATGCCCTTAAAATGCGAAAATTGCGCTAAAAATGCCTTATGACATGACTTAAATAGAAGTAAAAATATTGAACTAAAACAATGTTTTACTCTTTAAAATTATTATGAGTCGTTTCGAAAAATATAAAGCAATGCAATACTTGTTCTGCGTTCATTAAAGTTTGAAAAATATGTTTCATACCCTAAAATAACAAAAAAAGGAAAATATATTGACTCCAAAACATTTTCATTTTGTACAGAAACTTAAATGAATATAACAACTTCCGTCTCATAATATTACTAAATATCAGAATTGCAGTGGATTATTAAATTTTTTTTAATATTTTGAAATGTAAACGAGCGTCTCTTGTCTGAAAGCAAATTTTTATACCAGGAGAAGCTTCTTTCAACGTCTACTGATGTTATTGGTGCGTACTTGAAAAGGACGGTCACACTTACTGACAATTCTTCTTCAATTTGAAAAGATGTTGCTTCACCTGTTAATATCCTAGAGATTTTCTTCATTGTTTGGAAGCCAGTGTAATAATAAAAAATAATAAAAAATAATAAAAATTGGAAAAAATTAACAAAAAATTTAAAAAATGCTTTAAAATGCAAAATACGCCCCAAAATTCAAAGAAAATGCCCTATAAATCTCAAAAATTGCTCTAAAAGACAAAAAATGTCCAAAAATGCAAAAAATGCAAATGTCATCAAAATCCGGGCCTTAGTTATAACCAATGACGAAGAGTTTCAATTGAAATATTATGAGGAATTAAAAACATACCTGCATCTGGAGAGCCTGTTTCTTAATTGTCTTTTGGAGATCTAAGTTTTGCTTGTTAGCTACATCAAGAGACATCTCAAGTTCTGTAATTTGTACTTGCATCTTCTTCTTGATTCGTGCTACCTCTGTCTTCAGTTTAGTTTCTGCTTCAGCTAATCTTTGATTCAATTGGTCCACTTCAATTTGGTATTGTTTTCTGTTAAGTTAAAAAAAATATATTAAGAAATATTCCGCTACTTTTATTTTTGTAAGAATATTTTTTACTTATAATATAGTATTCAGAATAATAAATTTTGTAATCTTCAGGAAGTGAAGTGATTAAAGTAGAAAAACTGTTACCACAAAAAGCATTACAATGTGAAGGGATTGGGTCAATATAATGAGAAGCCATATTTTGTAAATTAACGGGGAAGCGTTTGTAGTGATAAAATCTGATTTATATATGTAAGTAATATGATGTTTCTGTGTACTATTCTGCCCTGAGAAAAAAAGTATCGCCAATATTTTCCGAATACGGTAAAATTTACAGTGCTTCTGGCTCTATGGAAACGCCAAAAAAACTCGAAAATTTTTACCGAAGCGCTTTGATATTGATTTTGGTAAAATTAACAAGAAATTACGGCTTTATAGAACCGTTATTATATGAACGGAAGAATTAGCAAATGAATGGTTTGAATACCGTATATTTTAGTTTGGTTTTATTAGCAGAATTAATTTTTTTCTTTTTAAACGAGAAATGTCATTTTCATGCAGTTGGGTAATATTACCAGAACTTTTTTTTCCGTGTGTTACCAAGTGGAAATTCAGACATTCGTAAGGAATCTATCTATAAATCATACTAAGGAACAGTAATATGTAAAAATATTATCTTTGAGACAATTGTGGCTTATCATCATATTAACCCAAGCCTTTCATTCCTTGTGCATTTTATGAAACTCACTAAACACAATTCGACAGCATTTTTCTCACTTTTAACATGTCCTTATTTCTTATTTGGAGTCAAAGAGAATTTATACAAATTTATCTTCAACCTAATTCTTCCTCTCCCCCCCACACACACACTCACACATTTTTTAAAAATCATAAATGCGTTAACTTAGTGTTTTTAAATGTTTTTGTGCTTTTAAATGTTATCTCTCATTTCTCTTATTACTCATAGGAATAAAGTTGTAAAATAATTCTAGTTACTATTAATATTTTGAACCATAATAAACTAAGTTCAACTGATTTGAGGAAAAAGATACTTCCTTTAAATTACTACTTTTTTCCCAGTTGCAATATCTACAAAAACCTTTCACTTAATATAATTGTATGCTCGCCATAGACTAATATTATTTCACAGATATACATTTTATTACTTCGTTTGCCTATTCTAATGTTGTCCAAATTATGTTATTAAGATAAAATTTTTGTACTGGAATATTTCAATCAAATAATTATCAATTCAGTTTTTTTACACAAATTATCTCGTCTTAAATTTTATTGTTATATAATTTGCATTTTTGACGAAAGAATCAAATAAAAATTTCAAAATTAATACTGTAATCCAATGGGAATAGTTTTTTTTCTTTCTAAATAAGCACCAAAAAATAATAATAACTTTTCTAAATTCGTAAAAATGACAAATTATTAAAGGTGAGTTTTACGTGAATTTAGTTTTAGGTAATTTTTCGTTGTTTTCTCTACTGCTATTCTTTGCCTAATAATGATGTAGTTTTAATAAATCATTTGCCAACAAGTTATAATTGGAAACTGAATAGCTTTGAGACCTAATTTATTTCTAAAAATTATGTGAAATCATTTTTAAAAAAAGTGATAAATGAAAAACGTTAAAACTTTCCAAAAAGACAGACAAAAAATGAAATGAGGGCGAACTTGTAGCAGATTTCAAACAAGGACCAGTGCCAAGTTTCGAAAGATAAATATAAACCACAGATCAAGTCTTTAAAAAAATGACCCTTAAAGAAAGTCAGGTGAAAAAGATAAAGCAGAGAATAACTGACTGCTTTAGTTGCTCTACTTACCTACTACTTTTTACAAATAAATTGAAGTTGCTTATTTTAAAAGCTACTTTTTTACTGCCAATTTTTTTTTATAAAAAATTCACATATGCTAATAATAAAAAGAGAGGAAAATCAATTTACTTTGAAACATATAATTTAATGATATTTTGTTTTTCTACTGCAGAAAATTTATAGCGCTACTGATATTGTGTAACTAGATTTATTAGAAGACGAATCTTAAATGTTAAAATGGTGTAAATTGTTTTCCCCATTGCAAATGACTTCCATTTAGCCTTATATTTAGTACTTAATATTTATTAATGTCACAGATGTTCAGCAGAAGCTAAAATTAATAGTGAGAAACTTTTTATTCATTTTTTGATGATAAACATGAGCTGCTACATAAATTTTATTAACTAACCTAATTATATTTTTCTGAAAACTTTTGCTTATTTTCATATTAAATATAAAATACTGACTTATAGTTAATATATATATATATATATATATATATATATATATATATTCTGGAGAAAAAAAA